TGGCCAGTGTAGCTCAGTGGTTGAGCATTGACCTATGCATCAAGAGGTTCATTTACTGGTCAGTGGGGATGTGTAAGAGGCAGCTGATTGATATTTCTATCTCATTGATGTGTCTATCTTTCCCTCTCCCTTCCTCTCTCTCTAAAATCAATAAAAACATATTTAAAAATATACATATATATGTATGTATAGTTTGCCCTGCTGGATGCCTCAGTTGGTTGAGTGTCATCTGTACACGAAAAGGTTGGAGGTTCTATTCCAGGTCAGGGCACATATCTAGGTTGCAGTTTTGATTCCGAGTGGGAAACAACCAGTTGATAAATGCTTCCCTCTCACATTAATGTATCTCTCTCTTTTTCTCTCTCTTCCCTTCCTTCCCTCTAGAATCTATAAAAACATATCCTCAGGTGATGTGGCTGTGTGGAGTAGCCACTCTGTCTCACAGCTTCACCAATAAACTCTCTTTCACTTAAAAATAAATTAATATATAATTTGTAAAGTAAAACCTTAGTTTACTTGTTTGTTTTTTTAATATATATTTTTTTGATTTTAGAGAGGAAGGGAGAGGGGAGAGAGAGAGATAGAAACATCAATAATGAAAGAGAATCATTGATTGGCTTCCCCCTTTATGCCCCCCACCAGGGATTGAGCTGGCAACCCCGGGCATGTGCCCTTGACCAGAATAGAACCTGGGACCCTTCAGTCCACAGGCTGGCGCTCTATCCGCTGAGCCAAACCAGCTAGGGCAAACCTTACTTTACTTATTGATGAAACAGTGTTTTAACAGTGATTTTCCACCAGTATGCCTCAATAATTTTTTTAAAATATATTTTTATTGATTTCAGAGAAGAATGGAGACAGAGAGAGAGACAGAAACATCAGTGATGAGAGAGAATCATTGATCAGCTGCCTCCTGCACGTCCCCTACTGGGGATGGAGCCCGCAACTGGGCATGTTGCCCCTCACCAGAATCGAAACCAGGACCCTTCAGTCCGCAGGCCAACGCTCTATCCACGGAGCCAAACTGGCTATAGCTCTCAAGAATTTTTAAAATATGCAATACCTGACTATTTAGTCAGGGGCACTGACCTCTTTTGCCGACTGTCAAAAAAAAAAAAAAAAA